GCCAGAGGATTCATTCAAGCTCACAGCTTGCTCTTGGAGTATTTCATGTTGAGGTCTCTACTCCTGGAACCCCTGCCTGAAGCTTTCCTGCAAGAGATGAAATTCTATGTAATATTTTCTTTCTTTTTTCTTTTTTCTTTTTCTTTCTTTTTTTTTTTGGCACCTGGGATCGCTCAGGACCTTGTGCCTGTGAGGCAGGTGAGCTAAATTAAATCTCCGGCCCTGTAATATTTTCTTTAACATACTTCATGCTGAAGAAGCCAGAAGACAAGAAGCAGCTGGGTGATTTCTTTGGCATGTCCAACAGTTATGCAGAGTGCTATCCAGCCACGTATGTAGGATCCTGTTTGGGTGGGATGACTGGGGAATATGTTGAGGACTGAGGTGGAAAATTGACCTGTGGGGATACAAGGGTTCTTCTTACTTGGATGAACTCTTCTGTTGGGTTCTGAATGGGAAGTCTAGGGGGGTGGTCATTCCTAATGTTTGGATGCATGAAGCACAGTGGTCTGGGACTACAGCATCTTTTTCAACTGCTGTTTTCTTTAGGATGGATGACATGGCTGTGGATAGTGATGAGGAGGTGGATTATAGTAAAATGGACCAGGTATGGCATTAAGAAGATGCTTTTGGGTCTTTGGGTAGTTGCTTTAGCATATCTCTTTCTCTATTCCCCCAAAATCTTTCTCACTTCGTGAGTCCTTCTTCTGCTATAGCAATAAAACTATTAGCATTGTAGGTCGTGTTTTAGAGTCTGTACAAGATGAAATAAGGTAGGGCCAAATCTATTTTTCTGTTTTCTGCAACGAGTGAGTATCAGGGTAGCTGGATGTGGTGGCGCACGCCTGTAATCCCAGCACTCGGGAGGCTGGGGTAGGAGGATTGCTTTGAGTTTGAGACCAGCCTGGGCTACATAGTGAGTTCCAGGTAAGTCTCAACTACATAGTGAGACCCTGTCTCAAAATAACCAAAAAAAAAACAACGAGTATCAGGGTTTGATTTGCATCCTTGGCAGTAAGTAAGCAAGCATTAATACGCAAGTGCAAAGGTTAGAAGGAATTGCAGTCTTTAGAAAATATCTAGATTTCTAACCATGATTGACATTTTCCTCTGTCTTAAAATTTTCAAATGTTACTATTTTTGAAAATTTTGATTAAGCAGAGGAAAATGTTAGTCAGCTAGAATAAGTCCCAGCTATTTTCTAAAGACTACAGTTCCTTCTGTCCTTTCCACTAAGGAAGTGGGAGTGAGGGAAGGGAAAAGGGATTTAAAAAGGATAGAATTGAAGAAAGACATGGAAATAGAGCTTCTATAAATGGAAGGGGAACAAGAGTTGGAAGGAGCAGAGATAGGAAGGGAAAGGGACCCCCCCAAAAAAAGAATGAAGATGTGTTAATGTATATGTACAAATTTCCCACGATAAATATAATTATGTATTACAAACAAAACATGAACTAATACAAATAATAAAGAAAACAAATCCACCATTAATTGTAAAGAAATTTCATCTGCCTTTCTCATCAGTGTTCTGCAATGTTAAGAGCATGGTTAAGTTTAACCCTTGTTTATCCTTCTGCTATTAATTACTTTGGTGACTTTTCCCCCCATAACTGGGACTGAACCCAGGACCTTGTTCATACTAGGCAAGCACTCTACCATTGAATTTCCTCCCCAGCTCTTTTTTAAATTTTGTTTTGTTTTTTTGGTACCGGGGATTGAACTCGGGGTCCTTGGGCTTGTGAAGCAGGCACTGGAATCACTGAGCTAAATCCCCAGCCCTAAATTGTATTTTTTAACAGTCACAGTTGTCTGAAGTGCCTCAAACTAGGCAATCCTCTTTGATTTAGCCTCTTAAGTAGCTTGGATTACAGTGTGTGTCACCATGCTGGACTCCTTGCCATGATCTCTTAGTGTTTAAAGCTGCCTTTGTTTTCTTCATCCAGAAAAGAAATATAATTTCCTCTTTGTAGATTTTTTTGGTGAGAATTAGTATGTTTTTAGTCTTCAGAATAATGCCTGGCACTTAGTAAATTTATAGGAAATATTATTTGTTAGGATAGGATTTATTAATGGTTTAACCTGAGTGTGTGGAAGAATCTGGCTTTAATCAAGGGCTAAATTTCCTTTTCTACCAACATGTCTTTTCCCATGTACTTATTCTGTCTTGCCTCAGGGTAACAAGAAGGGCCCCTTGGGCCGGTGGGACTTTGATACACAGGAGGAATACAGCGAGTATATGAACAACAAGGAGGCTTTGCCCAAGTGAGTTGATATTAAATATGGGGTGTGGGGATGAGAGAAGTTGGCATTTGGGTAGACTAGCTTATACCGGGTTAGAGTACGTAGTCAAGAACATTGGTTAGAGACCCCTCTGGGAAAACCTTGCTACTGCTATGCAACTCCTAATACCTTTTTCACAAATGGCCCTTTTCAGGGCTGCATTCCAGTATGGTATCAAGATGTCTGAAGGACGAAAAACGAGGCGCTTTAAGGAAACCAATGACAAGGCAGAACTTGATCGCCAGTGGAAGAAGATTAGTGCAGTAAGTCGGGTACTGTCTCAGGTGGGAGGGGACACTGGCCCACAGATTCTTGAACATGCAGGGGTTGGAGGCCCGTGGAAGTGAGAGAGAAATCTTGGGCCTCAGGTGAGCTTAGATTGGTAGCATGAATATAGACTATCATGGTTTATTTTGCAGATTATTGAGAAGAGAAAGAAGATGGAAGCTGATGGGTGAGCAGCAGCATTCTTTTGTGGGACTCATTGGAATTTCTTAATGTGTTGATCTTATGCTGACTCATTTCTCCTTCCCTTGCAGGGTTGAAGTGAAAAGACCAAAATACTAAATCTCCAGTCTCTACTGGAGAATCTTCACATGGATGTTCTTTCTACTACTTTCTTTCTACAATTCCTAGTAAGGTTACAATGTGGGGTTTTTTTTTTAATGTATATAAAATTTTAATGTATAATCATTTGATTCCATTAAAATTGGTTAACCTGCTGTCTTCTCTGTGTTGAGCATACACCGCAAGGGTCGATAGAGCGCCAGGAGGCCATTTGCACTGTTGTATGAACACTTCACAACGGGGCTGTAATTTGTATGTCTCACTACTGGGAGACTCTGAACCACCAGTGGTACATCTATACCACCCACTGGTGGTACATATATAACTGTCCCATTGGGTTGGCCTGGGGCAATTCCATTGGGTGGTACAGGCCACCTGATTGGAGAGTCATGTATATACCACCAGTATTTCAAACCAATGGAAACCCATTAAATCACAAAGCTGGGTTTGGTGGTATACACCTATTTTTTTAAAAAATTTTTGAGACAGTCTAGCTATGTAGTTTGTGCTGGCCTTGAACTTGTGGAGATCCTCCTGCCTCAGTCTCCTAAGTGCTGGGATCACAGGCATGCACCACCATGCCCTTTTTGGTGCATACATTTAACCCAGCAATCTGGGAGGCTGAGGTAGGAGGATCAAAAGTTTGAGGTGAGGGCTGGGGATTTAGCTCAGTTGCACTGCACCTGCCTCGCAAACTCAAGGTCCTGAGCTTGATCCCTGGTACCAAAAAAACCCAGAAGTTTGAGCCAAGTTTGGGCAATTTAGTAACTTAGCAAGACCCTGTCTCAAAAGAACAAAAAGTGCTGGGGATGTAGCTCAGTGTGAAGACCCTGGCCTCAGTTAAAGCTCCAGTGTTGAAAAAATAATGCAGAAATTCATACCAGTTTTTCCTGAACTATGATTCTAAATTTGTAGACAGAATGTTTACTAGCCAGCTTCAATTAGGAAAAAAGTCACAGAGACATGGCTCATTGTCGATACCTGCAGGGTCAGTATGAACAAACCCAGGACTTCCAGTTTACAATTCAGTTTCTGAGCCGGGTGTGGTGGCTCACTCTTGTAATCCCAGCACTTGAGAGGCAGAGGCAGGAGGATTGCCACAAGTTCGAGGCCAGCCTGAGCTACAAAGAGAGACCCTGTCTCAAAAAAAAAAAAAAAAAAAAAAAATTCAGTTTCTGCAAGTACCGTCATGTCTCATAGAAGTAACTGATCAGAGTGCTTTGATTAGCTAAATGTTGGGTGACAAGAACTCTCAACCACATTCGGTAGTGACTTCGTTCTAGTCATTAGCAAGTGGGACATACTCCCTCTTTGGAGTCTCTTGTGCCTCACTTGTTTCACCTCTCTAAAGTTGTTGGGCATTAACATGCAAAATGTCTTAGCCAGCACTCTGGGAAGCTGAGGTAGAAGGATTGCAAGTTTGAGCCCAGCCTGGGCACTTTGGTCTTGGTGAGAGCTTGTCTCAAAAAACCTAAACAAACCAAAACACTCTCCAAAACAAAAGAAGGCTTAGTACTACAGAGATGTGAGCAGGTTCCCTTTGGCCACAAGGGCCCCTTGCATAAACGTTCCCACCATTGAGGCTTTGACTGTAGGGTTGTCCAGAACATCCGCTGCCATGCCCATCTTCCTTTTCACCTTGGTAGCCTTGAGCATTGGTGGTCTGAGGCCACTGAGAGTCTGAAACCGAACAGGAAAATTGCAAAGCACTCATCTGACCATAAACAATGTTGGGCAATGACTGAGTGTGCAGGATGCATTCTGTGTGGCTTCCCTATGTCATCTTTGTGTGACTTTTGCTTTGTGGCGCCCACCCCCCAGTATCGGGAATTGTCAGGACCTTTCCTTTGCCATCCAGGCGATTCTGTGGCTTTTTTGCTGCTGCTCAAACACCCTGGCGGTGGGTTGTCAAGGTTTGAATTTACCAAGCATTACTTTCTCCTATACTGAGGGGATAAGTTCTGGTTGCTGAAGGAGTATCTCAGCTGTCAAGAAGGGCCAGGATGAAGGGAATAAAACTTAACAACGCAGTTTCCAACTAAGTGAAAGACTTCCTACTAATCAATGGTGTGCTTAGGAAGGAAGGGCCCTAAGAACTCCAGCAGCTCCTAAAAGGGTGGCGGCCGCCCGCAGCCTCTGACGTAAGTGCTGACGCACTTCCTCCCCCCTCCCACCCGGAAGCAAAGTCCTGGGCCGCAACAGCGGCTTTGTGGTTGGTTCTTGTTCTGGTGCAGCGCTGGCGCTAGTTTCGGACTCCTTCCGAGAATGGAGAGCACGTGTGAGGAGAGGTCCGCGCACGATGGGAGTGACGAGGGGGACTTTGAGTCCACTGAAGCCCCGGCCCGGATCCGGGACACCCCGGAAGACATCGTGCTGGAAGCTCCAGCCAGTGGGCTGGCGTTCCACCCAACCCGCGACCTGCTGGCGGCTGGGGACGTGGATGGGGATGTGTTCGTGTGAGTGAGGGGCTGGTCGAGGGGCATGGTGGAGGTGGGGTGCCTCATTTGCAAGCTCCTCAGGGATGGAACTGGGATAAGGATGGAGGGAATGTTGCCAGGAGACAAATTTTGCAGGACTCGTCGGGTCTTACTCTTTAAATGTTCAGCATTGAACAATTCCACAAAGCTGAATCCCAGCAGTCTGGAGGCAGGAAGTTCGAGGCCAGCCTGGGGTACATAGTGAGTTCAAGACCAGCCTGAACTACATAGTGAGACTTGTCTGCAACAGAACAACGCAAATCCAAACCAAACAGCTGCGTGACTGTGCCCAGAACCTGTATGGAGGGGGGGCGCTGGAAGCCCCAAGTTCCCACTCATATTGAGCCTAAGACTGGCTCAGTAGGCCCCTTGCTTTTGCTCCGTTAGTGGATCTTAAAAAAAAAAAAAACGTGTGCGATCTGGTCACTTCCTTGGTAAAACTCTTCAGTGCTCTGCTTTTGGGATTTAAAACAAACTTCATTTGGTTTCAGACACTTCTCCATCTTGCTCTTACCAGCTCTTCCTTTTTGCTTTTTGTGCTCAGTCATATTTAATCATATAAACAAAAAACGTGTTTTTTTGAAATGGTCTCCACATGTAGTTCAGGATGGTCTTGAACTCACAGGGATCCTCCTGCCTCAGCACTGTTGGGATTACAGATTTGCACCACTATGCTTGGCTCTCTTCAAACTTTCTGGCTTTGCCCACCATAAAAATAGCATTTACAAAGCCAAGCGTGGTGGCACACACCTGTAATCCCAGCACTCAGGAGGCTGAGGTAGGAGGATCTCTATGAGTTCCGAGACCAGCCTGGGCTACACAGTGAGTTCCAGGTCAGTCTCAGCTACATAGTGAGACCCTGTCTCAAAAAAACAAACAACAACAACAAAATGGCATTTATATTATATATAATAATTCCTGGTTTACTTCGCTGTTATTGCATGCACACAAAATGCTCATTGAAGCTTACTATGGATCACGACTGGAATTTGAAAAACACTTTTCTGTAGTATAATCTGTAGTCTTATTTTGTTCTCCATTTTACCTCCTAGTCCAAGGCAGGTGCTCAATGCATGCTTATACATGAGATACAGGGTGGAAGCATTGGAGCTATAACCAGGATTGCTGTGCAATTTACATAATTAATTAAAATGTCGGCCCATTAGTGGTAGTGGCTTTTGGCAGGTTAACTTCTGTACTTTCATTCCTGAAAATGGGACTAACACCTACGTTGCGGGGAGAACAGTACAACCCCTGAGCAGTTCAACACATGTAGGTTGTTTTTTTTTTTTTAACTACTCATATTTACAGTGCCTGATAGTTGGGAGATTTGTGCCCTACACCTCCACTTCCCACTCCCCAACACTTCATTGACTCAGTTTATCGTTGAATTCTGTCTCATAATGATTCAAAAGAACAATCTCTGGCTCTCTCCGTCCTCATTCTTCACCCTCAGCTGTGGCCTTCTGTTGGTCCTGACTCTTCATGACCATTCTCAAGAGGTTCTTTTCCCCCTAAGATTAAAGCCAGAGTTTTTTATTCTAGAAGGGACATTCATGTCTGCCTCCAGTCTGCTCCCTATTCTCTGCCAAATGAACTAATTTTTCAAAGGCCCAACTGACATGTCTGTAGCTTTCCAGAGCCCTCTTTTTTGTTTTGTTTTGGGGGTCAACCCATGGCCTCACATATGCTCAGCGTGAATTCCACCTCCGCACTACAGTCCCAGTTCCCTGGGTCTCATCTACCTTCTCAAGTATTCATTCTGTTTATGACTATTACGCCATTTCTTCACGCTAGACCCTGGGACAGAGATGTCAATGAGCAAACCCAGTTCTTCCCACATGGAATTTATAGGCAATTAAGTATTTATGCATTTGGCCCAGTTAGAGGATCTGTGAGGCAGGTACTGAGGAAGTTCCTTGGGCAGGTGCTTGCTTCAAAGCTGAGTTTACAGCTGGTGCCTCTCTGTTCTCCCTCCATGTTGGTTCTGTTTTTTTGGTACCAGGAATCAAACTCAGGGCTTCTTGCTTGCTAGACAGGTGTTGGGACACTGAGCTACCTCCTAGGCATTTTTTTTTTTTTTTTTAAGACAGGGTCTCACTTTAGTTCAGTTGTCCTCAAACTCACTTTGTAGTCCAGGCTGGCCTCCAACTCATGACATCCTCCTGCCTCAGCCTTCTGAGTGTTGGGATTACAGGTGTGTACCACCATGCCTGGCATTTGTCAGCATTTTGATTTTGCTAATGGTCATGATGTACTGTAATTAACTGTTTTTTTCTAGCTTCTAGGCACTTAGGAGTACATACCTTGATTTTTTGCTTCCAATTTCTGGGACTGGTCTTGTTACTGGTTTAACAAATATTTTGGGGCTGCCACGGTGGTTTGAACCAGTTTTTCTCTAGGCTGGGGCTTTCAAGGATGGTGAAGGTAGGGGTAAGGTATAGTCACAAAAGCCCTCTGCAAATGTACCTGGAATTAATCTGCATTGAAACAAGGCATACCATTTGAAGCTTACTGAAAATGGTTCAATAAGGTTGTAAGCTCTTTGGACTTGGATGTGTACAAGCAGTAACTCCTAGGAAGGTGGGAAGGTTGGTCTACCTAGTTGGCCTCCATATGCCATGCTTCCCAGGTGTGGACTGGGATCCTTGACCCTTTCTTCCAGCTTTTCCTATTCTTGCCAGGAGGGAGAAACTAAGGAACTCTGGTCCTCAGGTCACCACCTCAAGGCTTGCCGAGCTGTGGTCTTTTCTGAAGATGGGCAGAGTGAGTAATGGGGAAAGCAGCCAGCAGTGTGGTGGTGGGAGAATGCAGAAGGCAGAGTAAGCAGCACTACCTGAGCACCTTTTCCCGCAGAGCTTGTTACTGTTTCCAAGGATAAAGCCATCCATGTCCTAGATGTGGAGCAGGGCCGATTAGAAAGACGTATTTCCAAGGCTCATGGGTAAGGACTGTCAGTTTTGTGTGTGCGTAGAGGGAAGGAATAAGGAATAGGAGGTCCCCACTAGGACAAAAGTGCTTCAAGAAGCTCTGCATGCATGCATGTCTCTCCAGTGCCCCCATCAACAGCCTGCTACTGGTGGATGAGAACGTTCTGGCTACTGGGGATGACACAGGTGGTGTCCGGCTCTGGGACCAACGGAAGGAAGGTCCCTTAATGGATATGCGGCAGCATGAGGAATACATTGCAGACATGGCTCTGGACCCAGCCAAGAAACTGCTGCTGACAGCCAGGTACAACCTGAAAGCTGCCTCCCCATCTTTTGCCTCACTAGGGAGACTTTCACCTAAGCCTGCTCTATTGTTCTCTACAGTGGTGATGGCTGCCTTGGTGTCTTCAACATTAAAAGACGCCGGTTTGAGTTACTCTCAGAGCCTCAGTCTGGGGACCTGACCTCTGTCACCCTCATGAAAGTATAGCTGGGCATGATGGGATGGGGTGCATATGCTAGGGGTGTGGTCTGGGGTGGCTGCAGATACAATTTCCCTTTTCCCCTGCAGTGTGGGAAGAAGGTGGTCTGTGGCTCTAGTGAAGGTACCATCTACCTCTTTAACTGGAATGGTTTTGGGGCCACAAGTGACCGATTTGCCCTGAGAGCTGAGTCTATTGACTGCATGGTTCCAGTCACCGAGAGTCTGCTGTGCACTGGGTCCACTGATGGAATCATCAGGTAAAGGAAGCCACAATGGCTTCAGAGCCATTGAGCACTTGGGCGGGGGTAGGAAAGCTTTTGTAGGAAGGTGGGCAACTCTGGCTAACAAGTACCCTAATACTGTTCTTTCCCAGGGCTGTGAACATCCTGCCAAACCGGGTAATGGGCAGTATAGGTCAGCATCCTGGGGAGCCTGTGGAGGAGCTGGCCCTTTCCCATGGTGGCCACTTCCTGGCCAGTAGTGGCCATGACCAGCACCTCAAGTTTTGGGACATGGCCCAGCTCCGAACTGTGGTGGTGGATGACTACCGTCGACGCAAGAAAAAAGGAGGGCCACTGCGTTCTCTGAGCAACAAGGCCTGGAGCATTGATGACTTCTTTGCAGGGCTGAGGGAAGGAGAGGATTCTAAGGCTCCAGAAGAGGAGAGTGAGGATGAGAGTGACTAAGGGGATGAGAAGAATCTGTTGGGTCAGAAATTTTCATTGAGCATGAGCCTTGCTTCCTGAGATGAATTCCTAGCGAGGATATGAAATTTTTAATATGCTCATACATGTTAAGCACATACTCCACCACTGAGCTTATAGCCCTGACCCCAAGATATGACTGTATAACACCTGCATAAGTCACACCAGAACTCTACAGAAGACGAGGAGTATATGCCCTGGAGCAGCTGCTCAATCTGCCAGTGTAAGACAAACCCTCAAGTGTGTTAAAACAGCACAGACATGTGTATACTAACTAGAAGTTTAATATAAATACAACCAGTATAGAAAAGCTCAAAACCATATATAAACCAAAATCAGAATGACAACTGGTGGGGTGGAAGGGCTCAGCCAGTCCCCTAAATAAAAACAGAGATTCATGCTAAGCTTGGAGGTGAGGGAGAGGGGCATTTGTTTTATGTGTTACACGGGGAATAGCCAAGAACATTGGAGTCAGGTTAGAGCCTGGGTTCAGCAGGGGAGGGCAAGGTGCCTCACCACAATTTAAGCCCAATCTGAGCAGCTCTCAGATGTTACTTGGGTCCTGCCCCGGTAGTGCTTCTGTTTCAGACCTGGGGCAGGGCCCATACTCCCCTCTAGGTACCCAGGCCTGCTGGGCTGAGGGCTGACAGGCCTTGCCTATTGCTCAGGCTGCCTGCAGAGAGGGGAGGAGTCACTGCTTCAGGACAGTACCTGCCCCAGCCCCAGAGGACCACAAGAGACTGGCTCCAGACTCACTCAGTGCCTCCAGTAGCCGTGCGGACACAGCATCCTTGGCCACCTCATGCCCATCCTGCCCATCTGTGGCCAGCATGACCCAGATAAGGCCACTGAAAGGCACTGGATGCCCAGGGATTACTACCTGGTACCAGAAGTGGTGCCAGCCAGCGGGTCCTTTACTCAAACACTTGGTGAGGAATACTGGGCTGCCCAGCTTCATTTGTTGGCAGAGCAGCTGCAGGGCAGCCCGAGCACCTTGGTACCCTAGTTTGTCCCTGGCCAGGACCAACTGGCTGCCATCTGGCTGAAGGCACTGAAGAGCGGGACTCATAAGCTGCTGGCGGAGTCGCTGCTTTAGGTCTGGCTTGAGCCACTCCACAGCCACCTGTTCTCCACAGAGGCGTGACTGACCTGCAGGAAAAAGCAAGAGACAAAGGCACTTCTGAGCTCTGGGCATAAGCCCCCAAAACTGTGAGTCCTTGGAGTACACAGTCTTGTATTTAAGGCATAGCCTCCATTTCTGGGTAGTGTCCAACAGTTAACCTCATCCGTATTTGTAAGGGAGGCGTAACAAAACTGGCTTTTATGTTTCCCTTGAAGGAGTACTATTTGATGCAGGTTTTATCTACCTCATAACCATCACAATAGCCAAACTTTGTGGTCAATACTAGCTAAGAATCAGGAAATGTGTTAAGTACCATATGCCTATTGTTACTTAATTCTCACAACAGTCTGAAGAGGCAGGCTCTAGAGAAGGCTCAGTGGGACCCCCTTGGGCAAGTCAATTTTTCCACTGGAATGTTGAGGATGAAGTCATGTGATAATGCCCAAGGAGTGCTTAGTTAGGGGATACCTGTAGCACAACTACAAGTGGAAAAATGTGCTTGCTTAACCCAAAGATTTTAAGACTAACCAAGCTATCTATGCGCGACGCTTAAGTGTTTGGCTGCAACCAGAAACTCCCACCGCAACCCCACCCCTACCTTCTACAAGGGCCTTTTTGGCCATGGCGGCGGCGCGGTGCGAGCTGAACTTGAGCAGCGCTATCTGCGTGGGCGCCAGACCTGGACTGGGCAGCAGCCGCGCCTCCTGCAGGCCAGGCCCCAGCGGCTGTAGCGCCAGCAGCAGCGTGTTGTGGTTCACACCCG